TGGTTATACTGTGCCCGTATCAGATTACGAATTTAAATTGGGATTAGATTGAAATTTGACCAATCACATTAAAGTTTGCTTAACTTAATCTTTTTGATGCGCGATATAATTGTGATTTTATGTATTAAATTAAAATGCCCTTCTTGAAAACATACAACAGCTTTAACATGGATGAAATTGTTAAATCGTTACGTCAGTACAAAAGGTTACTAGGAGATAGGTTAAGAACGACCATGTTGGCGATACTGCTGATTGAGTTGATCGTCGATTAAAGTTAATCGGAGTCGGTTAAAGTGGCCCTCAGAATTTGCATCGCCGTCGATATCGCTCGACGCAGTGCGGCCAACGTGAGGAAAATCGAGAACGGCTCCGCGTTCCGAAACGCATCCCGCGCGCGCCGCGCCCGCGGTTCCGATTCGCCTCTCTCTTGTTTTTCTCTCTTTCTCTCTCTCGCCGGCGCCGCGCCGTATCGACCGTCCCGCTCGAAACGCGCGCGCCGACAGCGCAATCTTCCTCCGGAGTTTCCCCACTGCGTTCGCACGTAATTCCACGGACGACGGGCTCCGCGGAGCGGAAGGGGGATTCGTATTTTGTCATCCTTGTCATCGATGCACCGGGAGCCGTTCTGTCAAACAATAGAAGCGAACCGTGTCTCCGTCGTGCCGTGGCAGCGAGTTAGTCTCACCCGTCGTTCGGCATGGGGGACGGCAAGGAGGGCGAGCGGCAGCCGCTGCTGAAGAACGAGAACGTGACGTACACCTCGGTCGGCGGCGATGCGATCGGTAAACGGAGTCGCGGCTCCGGCGCGGGGGTCCGCGGCTGGAAAGCGAGAATCGCCCGCGAGAATCGTCCTCTCGCGCGGCTGTCACTAACACTGTCCGTCTGCCTGTCGTTCCAGACGAAACGCAGTCCAATGTGCACACCGTGTCGACGATCGGGCCGGACGAGCTGCCGCCGCCGTACCAGTCCGCGATCCAGGGCGGCATGCCGATGGTCACCTGCAGGGTTTGTCAGGCGATGATAGACATCTCCGGCAAGAGGGACCAGCACGTCGTCAAGTGCTGTCAGTGCAACGAGGCCACGGTACGTTCTCCGGAAAGATCCGTTTCTCGAGGTTTGTTTACCGATACGCGGTCTCCATTGTTCACCTTTCTCGCGCAGCCAATACGAAACGCCCCGCCCGGGAAGAAGTACGTGCGATGCCCGTGCAATTGCCTGCTGATATGCAAGAGCTCGTCGCAGCGCATAGCCTGCCCCAGGCCGAATTGCAAGCGCATCATCAACCTGGCACCGAGCCCCATCACGCCGCCGGTTCTGTCAATGCCAGGCATGTGCAGAGTAGGCTGCGCGCATTGCCATGACACATTCTTGGTGAGTCACCGGAGATTACTGGGTGTCCGCGTATCAAATGGCACTTTGTTTGATTCGTTTTCTTTATCTCCCCAATCGAAACGTCGCACCTTCCAGTTCAATACATTAAACAATGCTCTGGCTCGATGTCCACATTGCCGCAAGATCTCTTCCGTCGGCCCGGACTTTGCCAGAGGAAGAGGAATCGTATTCATTATCGTTGGGATTATAGCCTTAGTAATCGCTATAGCCGTAACGGTAAGTGCGCCGACTGGAATTCACATCCGTATCCAGGCGATCTATCTCTCTCTGTATTGATTTCACGCACGTACATGATTGCAGGTCGGGACCTATAAATATGTAAAAACAAACAGCGGTATTTACGTAGCGTATATCGGTAGGTGCAGAATAATATCTCGGATGTCGAGACTCGTCTCGCCATTGCGATCGCTATCGATTCGCCCGTCACGTCTCTCACGTTTGTCTCGCGTTTCCAGGTGCATTTCTGTTGGCGCTCTTGTGCCTGGGCCGCAGCATTTATTACTGTACGATGAAGATCAGTTTGATAGAGGGTCCCATGTAGTCTCCCAACCAACAGCGAGCAGCCAATAATACCAAGTCGAACCCACTGAGATGAATGTCATGTAACCCATTTAGAACAAATGTTTATAGAAATGTGACATTTTCGAGTCCCTCTGCGGAGAGAACGATACGTATATACACATGGCCATATGTGCGTATGCAGACCTGTATTGTTTATTATAATGCATGTATACATTCTTATATAATTCGCATACACATATGAACGTGTCTCGTGATCGGGAAGAAAGCAAAATGTTTCGCGACGCTTTCCTCAGGTAAGATAACGATTGTAGGAAATCTCTCTCTCTCTCTCTTTCTCGGGAGCCCTGGTGTTTTACGAAGGAATTGTCTCTGTGCACTTTTATATGTGCAAGCGCGGGGGCAACGGCCGCGGGCTCCGGATTTTATTTTCAATCTACTGACTAGAGAATACGTTCTATATATACATATAATTATACATACATGCTTTCTATAACACATTACGCGTATCAAGTGCACATAGAGTCGAGGTGCAAATGTGCTCATATTATTCCAAGTGTACGTATGAAGTAAGTTTTAAAGGAATCCATTATGCAAGTCTGTACGAATCCGTTTTTTAAATTTATTCTTGCATTCTATACAAAAGGCGTTCTGTATCGAAAACGCGAAGAAAAAGGGCGAGATCGCATGGTTTCGAATAAATTTCTGGGTTTATACGGATTTTGTAGCACACACGGGTGAAATCACGTGGGAGATACCGATGTATATATTAATAATGTAGATTACGCACTTAGGTAACGTAAATCCGAATACAGAATTTTCCCCCCCCCCGGTTGTCACACGAGGAATGCCGCGGCGCCGTTTTTAGTTTTCACCGTTCGTAAGGTATACCGCGCGATACCGCCGCTCATGGAGATTAAAGTATGTTCCCGTTCGGTTAGGTTTTCGTCATATAGCTCTCATAATCTCTGTAATACCCTTTTCAAACGCAACTCTTCTTTCTAGACGACTCTTATTCTCAATACGAGTTTCCTTACCATATAATGGAAGATATGTTATACTTGTTGAAAAAATAAATTCCGTTTGGTAAAAAACCAACCAGCTGTACTTATTGCGCGACACGCGGATAGATCGACCCGCGGGAAAAAAAATAGATGGACAGCTTTGTGAACACGTGCGGAATAGCGATGTGAAAAATGATGGGGAAATCCACACCGATTGCTGGCAAACCTTTGTGCTTTCGGTCGCAGATTATTGGAATCGGTCTGGACTTTCCGAATTGCAATTGCGTTGAATCGCGGGACAGGCGAGGGAGTCTGGAAAATTCACTCGGGTAGTTTGGGGAAGCGTGATTGCGACTTAGGCCCGGTTGTTCCAGCCTCTTGATAAGTTGACTAATAGTTAAGTATGTATGTCTTTGTCTTCCCTTTACCTCGGACGAAGATAAATATAATTTGACTGAGAGGCTGGAAAAACCGGCCCTTAGGAGTGTCCGACCTGGAAGAGAGGAACTTGCTTTCCGCAACTGGTTTCCGTTCTCCTAAATCCATTCTTGTGTTTCTTTTTATTTGAATTTGTTCCTGGTCGTGTTGCTCCTCTATAAGGCCCAGTTTCACCAAACCTTAACTCTAATCTTAGTTTAATTCATGTTTGTCTCTTTTAAAGTAACAGTTGGAAAGAGACGAAGAACAAATTGAACTAACAATAAGCTTGAAGTTGCTGGTGAAACTGGACCTAAAGCAGACAGGTGCCATATAAATCAAGGCCTACGTCCACGATGCTAGAACTTGATCCAAGTTCTAGTT